TGACTTGGCGAGCTTGATCGTAAAGCAGGGAACAATAAACAGTGGCGCGTACAGAGGTAAAATGTAGTACATATTTGGAATTTAAATAACGAATTGGATTTATAATAAATTACATTTAAAACAAATAGTTTATGAGAATAAAGGGATTTTTGTAGGAACAGGGTTCCAGACGTGAACTGATCCCTTCATTGCACCCCATTACGATTCTTTTTATAAGGAAAACGAAGTTTCAAAGCAAAAACCTTGTATAACAGATATGCTATAAATATTTGCAGAATGAAAACAAAATATAAATCCTATGATATGATTCTATCAAATGAAAACATCAATCTCAACAAAATAAGTTATTTTTCTATCAAACAAGAAATATTAACAAATTATAAACACAATATAAATTCTATGATTTATGTACTGTACGCCGAGCTGCATTTTTCTCATCTTCATTTAATATTAATTTCTTCTTTCCACCCCCTTTTTTAGGTTTCTTAACGTGTCCTCCATTTTTCTTCTCTCTTAAATTTTTGAAAACAGATGATTCGCTTACTTCAGTCTTCAGTTTCATGAGATGATCATTTTTTAAAGCGTTATAGACATTTAATATTATCGTTTTTTCTCTGTAACTTAATACAGATTTCTTTGTACCCGCAGCAGTACATCCGGCTTGCGAACATCCAGGCACCGTCTCCATTTCTCCATATAACGACAACAGAGTAATTATAATACAAAAAACTTCACTTCACTAGCACAGAAAATATAATAGCATTCACGATTGACAAACAACAGCCCGAAACACACACACAGCACACAAATAAAACACTAAAAACACTTTTGTTACTGAGCACAAGAAACATGATTTCACTCACAAATTCTCAAATAATATCGCTAAACACACATACAGCCCGAACGAAATATAATTGCACTTATAACAGTTATAACCTCACAAATATCGCGAGCGAGAAACACGCAGCACCAATACAACCGAAACGAAACTGACCACGCCGGGCCGGCACGCGCGCCGCCGCAACAAACACAAGACACAAGTCATATGAGGGAGGATGAAGGGAGTAATAAATGTATTGTTACTCTGCCGCCCAATGTGCAAAGGAGATGCCTTTGTTTTTCATTTTGTCCTTCATAAATATATAACTATTAATCCATAATTCATAAAGAAATTATTCAATTTCCAAAACCCCTAAAACGTGTTGCACTGATTCCCTTGACAGGCAATGATTTATTACTTTGCATCCAATATGATCCTACTATAGGTATTTTCACTGAAATACAGGTACATAGTGAAATAGATTTTGAATCTCCCATATCTAGGCCACTGTACCTATTATTTTAATACGCATCGAATCTGAATCCGTAGTTAGTTTTACATTAGCACCCACACAACATTTGAGTAAATTTCTAAAAATGGATGGAAAAACAAAAAAAATCGTACCAGAGCCGCTTAATGGGGCATCAGCAAACTTTTGAAAAAAATTATTTGGACCGAATAATGCCTTAATCTTACGTATTTTAATACGTTGAACCAATTAGTCGTCAGGAAAATACAAAAAATCGCTAGAAAACTGCATATTCAAATTTGCATTGAATGACGAAATTTATTTGGACCAATTCAAGTTCTATTCCAAAATATTTTGGCGCGCTAAATATGGATCTGACACTGGTTAAGTTATCTGGCAATGATTGAAGCCCGGTTTGACCATTTAAAATTCTGTAATCTTAAATGCAAAAATTCAAACTCCGAACTATTTATTACGTTTTTTCCTAATGCACTCTTTTGTAATCGAACGACCTACGCATTTGGTTTCAAGAAAATTGAAAAATAAACATGGAAATTTCTATACTCGTTCCCCTGCCACACATCAATTTGTAAAAGTAAATATTTAGCGATAATTACTTCAATTGAATCACTCAACATTCGCAATAAACTCACGTGTTAGAAATAGCTTTCCATTGAAGGCCTAAAGTCCTATGCAGTTTTACTGACGTCATTCTAAGTAACGCAGTACCCACACGCAATCTTGACTACAAGGAAATAAATTTATTCATCGAGTGTTTTCACGCCAGCTCTTAAAATAGGCTCCCAGCATCGACATTTCCGTTTTACGTAAGACTCTTTTGTTGTTTCTGCCCTACTCGCAATTTCTCTCGCGATTCTAGGAAAAACAGTATTTCTTTGTAGGGGGAAAACAGTGTCGTTAATGAAGGCGACGACCGACATAACGAACCGGGAAAGATTTAATAATTTAGTTAAAGCAACAATTATTATTGTAAACGTAAATAGTCACTTTGTTTTACAGAGAAATTTAATAAGCTTATCAGTAAATCAATATTGTAAATCACGAACATGATTATTCTTAAAGTTACATTTTTGAGTAACTTAAGTAAGTTATTAAAGTTTAAAACATAAAATGCTTATACTTCGCGGTCGAAATTATAGAGAGTGACTCATCGCTAGCTTTTGGACTAGTAAGGGGGATGAAGCGTGCCGAGAACGAATATCCATTGGCGTAAAAGGCAACAAGATATAGAAAATATTGAAAAAAGATAATAAAACATAACATCTAATATTTTTTTACGGTTTGCTATAACCGGTACTTTGATCCATTTTAATTATTACAGCATTTTAAAACGTCCCAGTTGTGTTTTTTTAATTTATAAATTTATTATAATCATGGAATTAGACCCCTCGTCTCAGGACAGGTAAATCAAGTCCGTTTACACCCACTAAAAAAGCATTTCCCTATTCCCAACCAAGTGAAAAAGACAGAGATAGAATATAGATCGACGTTCAGTGTAACTCAGTCTATAGACGATTATAGATTCTATCGATGCATGTACGTAGCGAGCGGCACAAAGATTAATAACATTGAACCGTTATAAAAATCATTTTATATTTTATACGCATTATGGTAATAGTGTGTTTATATTATGTCTGAGTCACTCTCTATAATTTCGACCGCGGAGTATAATTTCTATATAATTTCGAATGTAATACCTATCTTTAATCCACCTATCCATCTGAAATGCCTAAACAAACACTTATTATGTATGTTTTTAGGTAAAAGTTTATTAATGAAAATTGTTCAGAATTACCCAAAACGCGAAAATTCAAAATTTGGTTGCATTTAAATTTCAATAAAAAATCCTAAAGACGTAAGATCTAACAGTATGCATTTAAAACAAATCAGTGATTACAAAGTTTTAAATTATAATAAAAAAAAACAAGTCTTTTTAAGTCCGTTTAAACTATATTTTCTAATGCAATGTTTAATATCGATTTATATCGATATTTATATTATTTTCATCTGAAGAAGGTAGAAAACGTAGCCAAACATGAACATAAGTTTATTTATTGCCTACCTAAAAAATAGAGGTCGCTAAGAACACCTCAAAAAGTCTTTTGTTTCTTTCTATTTTTTGTAGGGGTTTTGGGAACACCCAGTTGTGTTCTGAAACGTCAGTAAATTTACTGTAAAAAAAATATGTTCGTTACATATCGCTTGCTAAATTTGTAAGAAAATTAAATATTTTTTATTAAAAAGCCAATGTTTCCTAAAATGTACCTAGCTCTCGAAATGTGGTACCACAAAGCTAAATCTACAGTAAGGTAAAAATATTATTATATTGATTACTCTAAAAGCTGCCCCATGTCGAGTTACTTTAAAAAAAAAACACAAAAAAATATGTTTGAAATTTCGTAATATATTTTTGTTTTTCAACGAATTTTGACGATTTTTTTCAACTTGAAGCTCTTTTCATAAGCTTTCCGAATATGTAATAATATACAACTATATCAGGCTCGTACGTCGTATATTTCATTTTAAGGTTAAAAAATTAAAAAAATCCAGGTTGCAATGAAATTAAAAAGAAAATGATAGATTTCAATGTATTATTATGAAATCTACCATGAAAAAAATCAGTGCGATTGTGGAAGATCCTCGGGATCGTCCAGACTAATAATTAGTTAATTTGTTTATAAGGTCATAACTTGTAAACTATTCAACTTACCGATTCCAGATTTCGTGTGAGTTATTAGACAGTGATAAGGAATGAGAGGATGCGATGCCAATACGTTCTGGTAATAATAACGCAGTTTATAAATGTTTAATTCAAAAGTCATAAATAAACTTCTTCTGTTTATAACTTTTGATCTAATCAATATTTTTGAAGACGAAAAAAAAGTACTTTACTATTTTCTCGTGGAAATGAACGGAAAAAAGTTATAAGCGAAAAACATGAATTTACGTAAAAATTATACATTAACCACCTTGTAAACAACCTTCCCCCCATTTTTATGACTGTGGAAACTAATATGTTATTGTACATAATATTTAGCATCTATAGTGATAAATTCAGTTTGCCGAAACAAAAAGTCGCGTTCAACTCTACATTTCCTGGCCTATACAATTTTGAACCGACTTTTGCCTTGTGTCACACAAATTTTAAATAATTTTGATCATAAATAAGAAAGGGGCAGGTCTTTTCCTGCTATGATTTAAGATCTAGTTTTTTAGATCAGAATTTCCTTTATTTAATTTCATATTTTTTTACCTCTTAGAAAATTTTGAGTTAAGGTTTGGTTTATTTTAGTGTCAATTTAGTAACTAACAACAGAGTCATGAATAAAGATATTTTTTAATTATAATTTAGTTTGATATCTTGAACAATGAAGCGCCTAAATGAGAAATGGTCCCAATATTTTTACCTAAAGAATCTGTGTTTAATTGTTTGTAACACCGTGTATATTATTTTAGACCACAAAAGAAAAATTTATCTATAGATGAATGTAGTATGGCCGTGTTGAATTCTTTAATTTTTCAGCAGATAAATGTTGAATTACGTTACATTCCTATATACCAAATTCGCATTGGAATATTTCAAAGAGGTCTTTCCCGTTTATTTTACATTTTTCGGAGTGCATCAGTCCGAGTGCACTCTGCTCGATTTTCTAATGGCAAATGTAACCGCTGCTCTTTTGTTGGCAACAGTGTGCGGCAGGAGGATGTACCCGGAGGCCCGGATCGTCGGCGGCGAAAAATCGTCTTACGGCAGGTGGCCCTGGCAGATATCCCTGAGGCAGTGGAGGACCTCCACGTACCTGCACAAGTGCGGGGCAGCGCTGCTGAATGAGAACTGGGCCATCACGGCGGCTCACTGCGTGGACCAGTAAGTATTTTTAAAATTTAATACAGGTTCGGAAAGTACCGATGGTCCATCTGCCGTTACGTGAGAGCGATACAGTAAGTCATAGAAATCCGTGCGATAGAGAAAGATGGCTATAATGAAGGCGTCTAATAGTCACCGCCCATTTCGCCCTTCCACAAATAAGATCCACTTCTTATTTGTGGAAGGGCGAAATGGGCGGTGACTATTAGACGCTTTCATTATAAACATCTTTCTCTATCGCATGGATTTCTATGACTTACTTTATCGCTCTCACGTAATAGCAGATGGACCATCGGTACTTTCCGAACCTGTATAAGAAAATATAGAAAGAAACAACAAGTATGTGATACTTGTTAACCTACAAAGTTTTTCAGCCATATTAATAATACATATATAACTTGTTACTAATAACTACTAAGATTATATTAAGCCGTTTATATTAATAATCAAATACTTGCTGTATTTAGAAACTACTAACCAACACATTAACACACTAACATGAACTAACATGAATATACCAGGTGACTTTTTTAACCTGAAACTTTAAATTTCTCGAGAAAATAAGCAAAAAAATGTCCATAATCAAAATTTAATTACTCTATCGCCCCTTTCCTTGTAGGTGAAGCAGTAGATAACCCCTAGTTTTTGTTGTACGGCTAAAAGTAGCATTTGCCTAAAACATTTTTGTTATTCATAATTCAAAATCAACGAAATTCAATTCTTTCGATTTCTCTTACTGAGAACCTATGGATACGATTCTGTAATATATATATTTGCAATAAAAAATACCACGTATTCACTGTAAATAATCAAAATTAGTCTTAAAACAAATTTGATTTCTCAAATTTTCAATTACTGAAAAATGAGTTGTCAAGAAACTACTATTATTGTAATTGTATGATACTTGGTCAACGCGATTTCCTTCGTTTATGATATATCGGAGGGCTTGATTAAAATATGCTTTCAAATTAATGTATTTTGTTTTAGAAGTATCATCTTTTTGTTAGAAATAATTCTTACAAAATTGTATTATGTACAATTAACCTTTGTGTTATTTCTTTCTTCGTGTTTTTTGTAACTGCAAAAACATAAAATAAACATTCAAAGAAAGGGATAACTTTAAGAAACAACTCATTTTAATCAAGCACCCCGAAGAATACAGAAAACTGTCATTGTTTCTGCGTTATACGCTGAAAGTCGTTTGTTCACAATTTACAATTATACAGGTAACAATTTCCCAGTTACATATTCGAAATTGCAAAAGAATAAACATTTTTGACTACGAATTTAGAGTATTTACATAAAACGTGGTATAGGTTATCAGTAAAAGAAATCGAAAAAAAATAGAATTTCACCGTTCACAACGCGATCTATCATCAATCGAAAAATATGTTTCAGACAAATCCTTGTACTGTAAGCTGTAGAATCCGAATCTGTATTAAAAAATAGGGGTTCCTATATAAGATTGGAAAAATACCCCCTATGGAACCTATAAGAGGGGGGGGGGGATCTATACCTAATGGTTAAATTTTGATTAATGACATTTTTTCATAGAGAGCCTATTTTTCGAGATGTTTCGGGTTAAAAAAATCACCCGGTTTGTATTCCCGTCTATCCAATTATTTCTAGAGTTCGGGACTCGGTCGGATGATCATAGCCGTCGCGTCGGCCTTTCGCTACAGCGCCACTTACGAAACCGGTAATAAAGGCAGTTATTGGCTTCACGTTTGCTTCGTGTATGCGTCTTTTAATATTCTAAGACCCGGTACTTTGAGTCTCGATTATGACTTGATTAACTAATCAGGCGATTAGACTGTGAATATATTTTTATAAAATAAATGGTTACATGTACAGTCTAATCATCTGATTAATTAACCATGGCTTAACGGAGACTCAAAGTACCGGGCCTAATAACGTCGAACGCGCCAAGGGGTCAAAAACCACCTTTTGCTGATAAAGTATGCAAAAATATATATTTTTATTTATACCTACCTGTTTATTTATTTGTTTACGACGAACACGCCCATGACTAGCCGACGAAAACCCCGAACTCTAATTATTTCGGTCCTGTCAAATTATGGTTAAAGTATAAACCTATAATTTGTCGAAAACCAAAAGGTATATATTTATATATGTACATACATATTATCAAGTGAGAAATTCTGCTAGGTACGGAAAAAAAAATAACTGTTAAAAACTCAGAAGAGAAAACACTGGTTCTATTTACAGCACACTAAAAATAAATTAAACCAGATAAGTAAATGCTGCAACTGCAACAATATTAAATTTGAAATAAAAAATAAAAAAGAAATATGTATTTTGATTATGTACAATATGTAATTTAAATAAACATAATGTACAGTGTGTCCCGGTACTTGATACAAAAATGTGGAATAAAAATAGATGAGGTCAAAATAATATCAGTTCTTCATATAATTTTTTTTCATACGGGCCTTCGTTAACAAGTTACGGGCCCTCAAAATTGAAAATTAAAAAGTTATTTTTATTTACAGTCTCTAAACTATTAACTTCAGCATGATGCAAATTTGGTGATCGACACACATGTGTACAGCTTGTTTTTTATGTAAGTGAAACTTTATTATGCCCAGAACGCCAGGGACGGACTATGTTCAAAGCTTGACAACCCAGAATTTTTTTCATAGATAACGATCGCAAACTACCGATAATATCCTCTTGGTTCAACTCTGTAAAATTAACAGTTTAGGAAATATTTGTGATTTTATGTCACAGTGCACATCGAGCGGCGCCTCCACCATTTTTCGTTTTTCATTTTTAATTTGGACATAATTACTATGTTAGAACCGTACATGTTTTTAAAATAAAAGCCTAGAAAATCTTACTGTCTGCTAATGTAATTTCCACGAACAAAATTAGACAAACATACTTTACACAACACAAAATAGGAAAATAAAACAAGAACACGTTAAAGTAAGTTAAGTATTCGACTCCAAATATCGTTGTCCGATCTTTTTAATTTTCACCTTTGAGGACCCGAAACTTGTTAACTAAGGTCCATATGAAAAATATTTATGTGAAGAACTGATATTATTTTGACCTCATTTATACTCGATTTTTTTGTATCAAGTACCGGGACACCCTGTATATGGAACGATCTACAAAACTCTAATTTGTTTACCATAACGCTAGTCTAGAAAATTATGTGAATAATTGAATATTGAAGTTAAAAGCTAAGAATGAATAACTGAATACAGTATTGACGAAAACCATTGTCGATGATGTAAATAGCAAGTTGAAACCATAAACATTTTCTATAAATTTCAAAAGTTCTTTGACCTATCGCGTAAAAAGATATTTACGAGTTTAAAAGTACTATTTAACACCGTTTCTCGGACAAAAAAGACAAATTATGTTATGCGTAAATGCCATAGTAAAGTTAACGCTTCTCAACAAGTTTTCTACTAAAAAATGAAATATATGTACCCATGTATACATTTAAAATTCAGTCTACACAGGGTGTTAGTAAATAAGTGCGACAAATTTCAGGGGGTGATTCTACATGAGAAAATAATGGTAGTTTGCTTATAAACGTATGTTTGCAAATGATTTGTTTTCCGAGATACGGGGTGTCAAAGTTTTTCTTAAGAACTGACGATTTAATTTATTGCTCTGAAACCGGTCGAGATGTGCAAATGATTTTTGGTGGGTTTTAAGAGGTAGTTATTGCGCATTTTTTGACACGCAATTAATAATTTTATGTTAATGGTACGCCACTGAGATATTACAAATTAAAAATTCCTCGTTCAATTTGTGACAAAAAATCTCCCTTGCCTTTACTTAATCCATTGGCAAAAAAATAGGCGCGGAAAAAAGTCTCTAGGTAGTAGAGCTTGCACACGTTCAATATGAAACGGATACAATTGCTGTTCTTTAAGAATTTTAAATACTGTGAAGTTGTTTATATTCAATATGTTGGCAATTTTTCGAGTACTTGTTTCAGGTGACTCCGCAATTAACTCGAGAACTGCTTCTTCTAGTTGCACAGTTCGTACTTCTCGAGGGCGCCCACAGTCAACCGTTTGTTTCTTAAATGAACCATTTTCGCGCAAACGTTGATGAAGACGAGCAAATATTGTGTGATGAGGTACCCTACGTCCTGGATACAACTCAGCATACAATCGTCGAGCTTGCCGACCATTTCCATTACTTCGACCATAGACAAAATGCATGTCTGACAATTCCGCATTTGTAAAATTTTCCATTCTTTTCGATAAAAGAAAAATTAATTACTTATTAACACTAATGTTATAGCAAACTAAAAGCTTAATAAATTAATAATGACGAAACGCTAATTTGACATTTCTTAAAATTATTCGTATTTAACAGACAAATGTTGACAGTAGCCTACTATTTAATGTATTACAGAAATTAAAAATACGTGTTAAGATGTTTTATTTTTTTGCATCAAAACGGCGCCCCATACGAAGAAAAGTCAAGAGAGATTTTTTGTCACAAATTGAACGAGGAATTCAAACATGATTTTAATTTGTAATATCTCAGTGGCGTACCATTTTTTTTCTTTAAAAAAATTGAGATTATTACCCGTTCGCGCGCCAATGATGAACATAAAATTCTTAATTGCGTGTCAAAAAATGCGCAATAACTACCTCTTAAAACCCACCGAATTTCATTTGCACATCTCGACCGGTTTCAGAGCAATAAATTAAATAGTCAGTTTTTAAGAAAAACTTTGACACCCCGTATCTCGGAAAACGAATCATTTGCGGACATACGTTTATAAGCAAACTGCCATTATTTTCTCATGTAGAATCACCCTCTGAAATTTGTTGCACTTATTTACTAACACCCTGTATAACATAAATTTTAGGCGAATTTTAAACTTTATGAACATAACATGGATTTAATTTTTCAAAAGTTTAGAGTTTGCTTTATTATTAAATTAAAATTTGGATCAAGGTTACTGAGTAATTTAATATGAATCCCTTTTTCCTTTAGTACCT